TATAGGTTGAAGTTGTTCTAGGCCAGGGGTGCCCACACTTTTTGAGCTTGGGAGCTACTTTTAATATGACCAAGTCCACATGATCTACCTACAAGGTCGCCCCTGCCCAATCTGTGTCGCGAGCAGGGGGGGGGATGCTAGTGGACAACAAGCGCCGGAAACCTCGCAGCGGTGGATAAACTGTGGCGTGCATACACTAATTCCACCGCATTAGCGCATCATAGCTTCAGATGAGGAGGTGAGGACCCTTCTATTTTTTTTTAAAAATGCTATGCGATCTACACACACTACTTTTTTTATCAGATGTGGAGGAATACATGACTTGTGAAAAGTAACTACAATTCTACCCGTGATATACGCTCATTATATCACGGCTAAGAACCAATCAGATTGCTTGATTTGACTTGTCCGTTTCATAATGTCTATGTGATACTAATTTACTCAGTACTTTCCTAAACTTGCTCCATATTGACGAATTATAACATCAAAAAACTCTTGAATGTATTTTCTAAGGATACCATGCACTTGAATGTACTTGAATGTTCAGGACAGTGGCAGACCTTTGCACAGCGTCCTGTAGTTGGTACAACAGTCTCCTCGGGCCAGGCAGTCCTCAGAGCAGTGGCAGGCGTGATGCTCATTCCAAGTCTCCCCACATCGATCCTTACTGCACTCATAACCCCCCTCTGTGTACCGGGACATAGATGTTTACAGAATGATCAGCAGGGAATTTCAACAGTAGCTCCAAAAACTTTGATATATACACAATTCATCTCATACATCACTGCTGGAACCACCAGCGCAGAGAAATGAAAGATGATATATTCATTTAGCAGTGGTGTGGCTGCGTTCATACAGATGAACACTCAGCAGTTTTGGATTAACATTGACAATATTGCATGTTTTCTGGCCAAATCCTCCAGATGAGAACAGCAGATGACAGTTGTAGCTCAAAGAGAACCCGAGTATATCATCAGGTTCAGACCCAGGCAGGATTACAGTGGCAAGGCTGTGGTAAGCCATAGACCACCAGGCTGAAGGAGAGAACTTCAAATCAGACCACCTACACTGACGTGGAGGGCAGAGGGAAAGCTGCCCATAAACACGGAGAATAAGAAACAAACTATTCCTCACATCACAGCTAAGAAACCTGTTCAAACTGAATTGTACATCTGGACAATCGGGCTCAAGATCACACCTCAAATGTGATTTATTTGCTCTGATACTTGATCTGATCTTAAAATGGTTCACATTAGATTTAGACTCACCAATATGTAAGAGAGCCCTGGAGATTTCAAATTCAAACTGATTAGAACAAACATTCCTTCATTGAACATTATTACGCTCTGTCTTAATAGAATACATAGGGATACATGCCTCAAAAGTATGCCAACAAACTGCAAAGTGGATTATGACTAAAGATGTATTAGACCTCAAATATGCAGGTCAGTTTCAGTCATAACTCTTAAGTCAAAGCTACACAGAAGTAAAAAAGGAAAGAGCAGAGAGTACCTGTCCGGAGGCACAGCTGGTCAAAGTCCCAGCAGCAGCTGTTGTAGGTCTTACACAGGTTGTCACAGCGGCAGCTGGGGGGGTCCAGCTCCAGCAGCTCGAAGCACCTGTTCCTGCAGGAGCCGGAGGACGCCACGTACTGAGGAGCTGAGCGAGCTGCAGAGAAACACGCTCAGCGTTATCAGAACACTGCTGAAACACTGCTGAAAACTGTTTGAACATCAATGATTCGCTGCATCATCCAAAATCAAATGTCAAAAATATTAAACAATAAAAATCCCTCAGTTTCTTGTTCATGTTCAATGTTATAAATATCTGGTGACTCAGCAGTATATTGATTTTAACAGTAAAATGCGGTTTGAGCTAACCAGCCAACTCTTGCAATGTTAAAACATCTTTATCATAAACAAGCGCCAGTGTTGCTGGGGGTATGATTTCAAATGAGATGGTAAATCTGCCATTTGTATGATGTGTGATGGATCATTTTAAATGTTTTTTTACTTGTCATGGTCATATGAGCTCTCCTGTAGCAGTGTAATGGAGCTGATTCTAAGTGTATTGATATTCTATTGAAATAATTTTTGGCGACACCGCTCACCTTTCCTTTTGACAATCAGAAGATGTTTTACTTCAAATGTACACATCACATGTCATTATATAACATGTATATTCTAACATACAGTGGTGTATACAAATGTGATATTATTATTATGATACTAATTTTGCTTTATTTATCTCTTATTTCAGTTTGTGCTAGCATTACTAATAAAAGGAGAAGCTGCTGTGATCCCATTGAGCAGAAAAAATATATTCCCTCTCAAAATGAAACCCCATCAATGTGTTGTAATGTAACTATGACAGCTTAAAACAATTTGACCGTGACTTTGAATGACTGATGTTGGTTTGGCCACCAGTGGTGCCTACAAATGTCAACGTCATTAAACTCAACACCTTCCACAGTTCAGAAACATGAGCAGGAACTGGGAGGACATTGTGGGACCAATAACACAATACTGTACAGTATGCTATCCAAAAAGTGTCATTAAAGTCGACTAAATGTATTGACCTGGACTGACCTGCATTCAAATCATTTCAACGTACCACCATGTCAAAAACAACAGACGTGGTTGGCAAACAAAAACATTTCAAATCAACAATTCACATTGCATACAGTCACAAAGAACTGTTAGCAATGTGCCAAACTCAACATTTTAAATGTTCTCCGGGGACCAAGCTGTGTAATTTGAGCTCACAATAATGCTCTCTTTCCAATAGGTCCCACAGGACGGCGGAACCCGACCCACAGTCTGAACCCCGGCTAAACTGAAGACATCCTGGAGATCTGAGCGTGAGACACACTCCACTTATTGCTACAATTCTAACAACATGCTCCTTGTTCACTCACCTTTGAAAAAACAACCTCAGACGCAGAGAAAACCTGAGAATGCCAAAGGGAGTTTGTGAGTTCCTGTGTGGACATACGAATGTTTTTGTGTGTGTGTGTGTGTGTGTGTGTGTGTGTGTGTGTGTGTGTGTGTGTGTGTGTGTGTGTGTGTGTGTGTGTGTGTGTGTGTGTGTGTGTGTGTGTGTGCATTTTTTCATTCCCTTGGGCAATGTGGACAGAAGCCAGCGAGATCATTATGTCTCCTTTGGAGGATTTTAATTGTTTATACAGAACAAAGACTTTGACTCACTGACCACTTCTGTGCCAAATCCCATGGTGTGTATCTATGTGTGTGTGTGTGTGTGTGTGTGTGTGTGTGTGTGTGTGTGTGTGTGTGTGTGAAAGGGCATGTGCATGTGCATATGGATTCTGTGTGAAGGAGCTGAGGTGTTACACTGTGAATGATTTATCCTGCCCAGTTGGCGCAGCAGTGAGTCAGAGTGAAGCAGCACCAGTCCCTTGTCAGCTGGGAGAGTGCGGACTGCAGGTCAAAGGTCAACACTGTCTTCTGTCTCAGACTAATGGACCCAAGACTCCAGGAAGTGTGCCAGGCGTTGACTTTTTCCCATTGATTTGCACTGGCGGATAATAATGTTTTTTTGGGGGAAGTCACCCACTGAACAAAATGCCCTAATGCAGGGTTGTATTAGGGCATTTTGGTAATTGGCCCAGAGCTAATTCTAAAAGTATAATGGAATATGAACCACACATCTATTCATCTATCAATCTGTCTATCTATCTATCTATCTATCTATCTATCTATCTATCTATCTATCTATCTATCTATCAATCTATCTATCTATCTTTCTATCTATCCATCTGTCTGTCTGTCTCTCTGTTTGTCTGTCTATATATTTCAACTGATTGCATTGTTTTCAGAATTAGGATTTTTTAGGAATAATCACAACTCTAATCAAAGTCAAAAGGAAAGTGATGCTGGCACTGTGGACTGCTTTCTCAAACACGTATATGTATATTTATGATTCTGATGTCATTCTTAGCAAGTCTGAGGGCAAAATAAAGTCAAGAAAAAAACATGAAGTATGATATTGAAAGCTCTGGGAAAAGCCAGTTAATTTATGTTGAACATTATGCATGGCTCTGTGAGTCCAGACTGACGCTGAAGGATCAAAGCAATTTGAGTTAACTATGTTATTGAAAAATCTCTTGTTATTTTATTTTATACTATAAAAATAGAGAGAAGTTTTATGACTAATTATAGAAATGAAATGTAAAAGTAAACAGATTCAGATGAAGGCAAGAACAGTATGCCAAAGTAGAGTTGTGGCGTGTGTTTGAATGATCGTGTAAAGTGTGTTCAAAAATGCAAAATATTCAGCAGCCAAATATAACGATATGGTCTGCAGCCGCCGCCGGTTGCCATGACAATCCATGGCACAGTGGAGCAGACGTCTCTGGTCTCCTGCCACCGAGGCTGAGCCTCAACGCTCTCTCACTGTTGACCCAAGGTAGAGCAACACAAACACACTCTCTCTCCTCAAAAAAACACACCGGCTGCCCAATCACAGCCTCACAGGGTCACAGTGATCCGTTGTAACACCCCCNCCCCCCCCGCCACTACCACCATCTATTCCCTAATTTCATATGCACTGGCAGACACTCCATATCAAAAATCCAGCAAATAAACGGAGCAGGAGACATTCCTGAGGAGCTGCTGCTCAGCTCTCATCCAGTACATGTTCAGAGACAGCCAGGTGGACATGTGTCTCTGCAGCTGGCGCTGGGGCGACTGATTGCACTTGAAGCTCACACAGGGAGCAAGATTGACTCTGCGTTGGAAAACAAACTCAGAGGTTGTTTTCTGCGTGTGTCTGGAACTTGGAGCGCAGCTTTAGGCAAGTCCTACACACACTTGGCCAAGATACATCAGAGCTGGTCCAAAACACACTTCACATCCCTGTGCTGAGCCACTCTGGCAAATAAATGAGAGTGTGTGACTTTCCCTCAGCTTTACACAGAGTTCTGAGAAGCTTTCACTTTAGCTGAAGACACTCGCATTGTTGTCCTACATCTGATAGCAGAGAACAAGGTGGAGACGTCGGGCTGCGAATTACAATGATTGTCATCATTGATGGTTTGTTTCAGTTCATTCTTTGGCACATACATAGTCGGACAATTGTAGAACATTTCCATCTTAATTCTATGGAGGTCGGCTTCAGACCGCTCATTCTGTCCAAACAAAAGTCAGAACCTAAAGACATGACTTCAAATCTGTCTGATGGGACAGCCTGGATGTCTCTGAGTTTGGACTGACTGGAGGACAAAACAAGTCATTGTAAGGAGTTTTAGAAACTAATGCAATGATTGATTGACAAATCAAGAAAATAAATTGAAATTGAGTAGCCTATAGGCCTACATGATGACAATAATCTCTAGTTGCAGCCCCAAAGGATTTGCGAGACAGAGAAAAGATGTCTGCACAAACTTCTGGTTATTATTCAGACCACGACCGTCCCTGGCCAACATGAGGCTCCACGCAAAGTTATATGATGAGGCCCTCTGTTTCGGGAGCGTCGACGGGCGGACGGACGGGGTTGCTAGTGGAGCCTCGCAGCGGCGAAACCGTGCCGCGCCACACTAATTGCGCCGCATAAGCGCATAGGTGCGCCGCATTCTCGGCTCAGTTGAGGCTCCCTCCGCAAGATGAGGCCCCCTCCGCAAGATGAGGCCCCCTCCGCGAGGTGAGGCCCCACGCAGTCTGTCGGCCTGTAGGGAGGGACGGCTCTGATTCAGACTGCTTCTTCTTGAACCTCTCCAAAGCTCTGCGATGATAACACTGTTACAGTCAGTGTTGAGTTCACCCCCCCCCCCACAGCTTAAACACATGACAGGAAAGCTTTTCTCTGCTGTACATCTAAAAACTCCAGGTTCTCCAGGTGGAACTAAAGTCTGATTTAAGACTTGATTATATTTCACATCATCTGTAAAGTAACTAAAGGTAGGCTATTCAATAATTGTAGTGGGGTAGAAGTACAAAGTAGCACAAATGGAAATACTGAAGTAGGCCTATAAGTGTATCTCAACATTTTACTTAAGTACAGTACTTCCTACTAAATGTACTTAGGCTAGATACTTCCCACCTCTGCATGGCAGCGTACTCACGCTCAGTCCTGGCTGACGTCCCGTCCTCTCCTGAACGTTTGGGCCGGTCGTACACAAATCCAGAACCCAGGGGGGAGCCACCGAGAACGGACAGGATCCACACACACTGAGAGACACACACACACACACACACACACACACACACACACACACACACACACACACACACACACACACACACACACACACACAGACATTAGAGCGGCTGCAGAGGCAGAGCACAGAGGAACAACACAAGATCTCACTGATTAGCAGTTCTTCTTCACACACATTGTGGATGTGTGGGTCGATGAATCCTAAAGATAGAGATGATAATAATATTAATGATGATTCCTTACATTTATTATAGCGCTTTTCCAGATGCTCAAAGCGCTTTACAAATACACATTACACATATGTAACCCACTGCGCCACTCCGCCCATCTTCACACCTCGAAGTCATCAAGGCGCTTTACAAGTACACATTACACACATATCATACATACATGTAACGGTCATGTACTGTGGACAGTAGCCACAGGAGCAAATTCGTGTGAAGTGTCTTGCCCAAGGACACAACGGCCTGACGCAGTGGCGGCGGGGGCGGGTTTCGCACGAGAGTTCCCCAACGCCACCGTCTGATGAGCAACGCACAGCCCACTGCGCCACTCCGTCCCTTAATGATGGGATATAACTTGTGATAACTCCTACTTTATAAAACATACGTAAACTGTTGTCCAATAACACTGATGTGCAATATGTACGCAGTTTAACATTCTTATTACTACTGCTGCCTCCTTAGTTTGACAATTGTAATACTGGAACAGGGATCTGTAACTATGTGCAGTATTGTAGGCTACCTCTGTTATCTAGCTCTACCACACCACATCCTATGGTACACTTCATTTATTTGATACAAACTGCTGCTGCTGCTTTCTACCCGAATGTGTACTTTGTAAATTGTAATAACTTTTATTTTTTTAATATGATGTGCATGCCCTTTATCTAATAGTGTTTTATTTTGTGTCTCTATCTGCACTTTTGCTCTAACAAATGTCCCCTCTTTGGGACGAATAAAGTCTGATTCTGATTCTAAACATTAGGTGAGCGTCTTCAGTGAAGTCCTGCTCATAGTGAACAGCTTTTACAACACGACTTTGAGTATTTTTAATAAGATTCAAGGCTTTATTGTAATTTGTACATTAGCTACAGTGTATAGATATGTCAATGAAAAACGTAGGTCACAGGCTCCTCCAACAGTGCAACATATATATAGGTTATAGACAAATAAAACAGATAAAATAGTGCAAGTAAATATAAATAAAATAGAAATAGTGCAAGAAGAGTCTATATACAAGTAAATGGAATATGATTTATTAGAGAGGCACCAGTACTATTCTCCATAGAGCTTCCTGTGCTCCTGATGGGTGCCACCATCACATCTAATACCACATCAACAGCATCATGCACAATGTACCTCAACAATACGCTGTCTACATATCTCGGGACGTTTGTAGTTAGAATAAAACGTTTGAATTCTTCTAAAAGGCCTGCGAGCTATTTCTGGATATTAATAATAAGTAACGTTAGAATTGGTTCGGTTTGGCTTTCATTTGGTGTGATTATTTCATAATGCTGTGTCTGTTGAATAACATATGACTCACAGAGAACACAGTCGGCTCCAAAATAAACCTCATACAAATGTGAAAGTTTGTGAAGCATTAAAACCTAAAAATGGAGACTGAATTATAAAGCTCTTCTTTTATTGGATGTGGTCTAACACAGCTCCTGCTGGCTGCATTTCACGATGACCTGTCAACACCGCTGCCGTGTTTAGTTCAAAGTGAATATGGACCTCCTGCGGCTGCATGACAATCACCTTCAGTCGGTTCACGGATCTAGAATGGTTCTGTAAATGCTAAATAGCACGAAGGAAATAGTGTGTATTCCGAAAGAGCTAAGAAACCGGGAACATGCTCTTTGATCACAATGAAAAACTACCAGAACACACGGTGAAATGCGTAAAAGCGCACGGATTTACGCACAGAGATGTCTCCTCTCAGGAGTGACCTGCAGTTAAAAAGGGAAAGACATGAACTCCTACCGTACCAGTTTGTGAAGCAACATGTTCCTGTGTCGGTGAGCGGGTCCGGGCTGTGATGCTGACTCCGGCACCGAGGGACCACCGAGGCGCGAGCAGAGGGAGGAGGAAGTGAGGGGGTGGGGGGAGTTGAGGGTAGGCAGCGGACCCGCTTCTTATTGGTGTTGGGCTGGAGGAGGGATTCAGAGATCTGTAGACACAATTTCTTCTCGTGTGTGGGGGGGCTCCGTCTGTCAGCGCCTGTTTGTGTGCCATGCTAAAGGATTGCAGGTCAACCCAGGATAGGCAAGAGAGATAAACAGAACTGTGTGCATAACAGCCCCGAGCAAATCACTCCATCGACGAACAGTACCACCTCTTTCATTTATTTGGTCACTTTATTTTCAAAATATAATGCTACTTAGTTTTGTTTTTTACCATGATGTTTTTTTACTTAATAAAAAAACATGTTGCTTTCAATTTGCATTTGTTTTATTTTTTGTTTGAAAGTGTTTATATTATTATTGTTACTATGTTAACATATATATATTTTTTAAAGAAATTAACGACAAATTATTATTGTCCTCCCCAAACACTTCTGTGACTGCACCAACCTCAACATGTTCAAATCACAAATCAGAACATGAGGGGTCTGCTGCTTCTGCTGCAGATAGAGAGGCTGAGAAATCAGAACTCTGGTGTTAGTGGAGCAGAGCAATCAACTAGTTGCACATAAGAGGACGTTCCTGATGTAACGAGGGCAGACATGGAAAAGTGGAGTCCTAAACGTAACAGGATTAGGTTTTGGTAGAAGAAGAAGAAGAGATGTTGAGTCCATTCAGCCTGCTGAGCCTACTGAGATATCTCAATATGATGTATTATCTATATGGGCCGAGAAGAAGAAAACTATAGGGGTCGAAGGAAATTGAGAGTTTGGCCTTGACCCAGGGTACAAAAAGTAAAAGAGGGAAAAACACTGAGTGAAAACACAGAGGAGAAAAATGTGCCTTTCATGGTGAGTCCACATACAGGAGCCATCGTGAAGTCTGCTCGCCTGAGGGTCTAAAGAACAACCTGACTCTGAGCAGGATGTTAGCAGTGACCTCAGCAGGTTGACAAACCTGGAAGACGACACAAATGGAAACAGTTTCAGGTCAGAGGAGACGAGCGAGGAGTCAGGAGGTCCCTCAGAGTGAGGACAAAGGCCTTCAATGTTGAGAGCATTAAGACTTTCTCACCTTTGGATAAGTTCTTCGCAATCAGTATCTTTTTGAGTTGGTGGGCTCCCTAAGAACTTGGTGTTATAGCTAGTTTTATTACTGTTTCCGCCATGGCTCTAAACATAAGATTATATATTGCACTTAGTTTAGGCTTCTTTGTATGATTACATGCATGCACTTTAAGAATTCTGAACAAAAATCCCTAACTATTTTAGTTTGATGGCAATAGGAAGGATTTAGTGTCAGTATGGACACGTTTTAGTTGTCAAGCTTGTGAAATGAGGCAAACAAATTCCTTTATCTGATACATGCCAAGTATTAAGGCAAAAACAACATGGAAATATATTCTACGCTTTGTAAGCAGTTTCATCCATCTAAATGTCCAAATATTTCTGCAAAATGTAGTTGTGTATAAATTCCAAGATATAGTTAGCATACCAGAATTGATCAGCTAAAAGTAATGGAATCATCTACTGTAGTTTAAACACTGATGAATACACATGTCTTTCATTATTAATGATGACAGTCTCAAGAAATATATTTTACACTCAATACAGACCATCATTGTAGGAAATGATTGTTGATGGACACCATTTTATCCATGTCAATTTATTTGAGCTTTAAAATTGTATATACCTTGTATATCCCAGAATAACAGTACAATGGTCAATTTCAAACTGTATCAACATTATGCTAAAAGAAACAAATGCACTCATTTGACCCAGGTTTAAACCCAGCCAGCCTCAGTCAGATGTTTTGGCTCTGTCCAAAATGGACCCGTTTATGGACTGGTATATTTAAAACCTTTTAGTATGTGTAATACAGCTATAGATGCTAACCCATCGACTGTATTATTTGGCGTGGTCACACAGGAGACACAAATAACAACTCATCAGGCTGAGGCTGTGGCGTTCTCTAACCTACTTGGTAGACGTCTGATACTCCTTAGTTTGAAGAAGGCTGCACCATCCTCTCATAAGCGCTGGGTAGAGGAAGCAATGTTCCATCTTAAACTTGAGCAGCTAAAGCACATTGCCCGGAGCTCTATCCAGAAGTATAATAAGTTCTGGCAACAATTTCTGTCCTATTTTGACATGGAGTTCTCTGCCATTTACCCGTAGACATTTGATAATGAATGATAAGCAACATAAGAAATGATCTCTGCAGAAAGTTACTATGAAGCATGAGATCTGTGGGGTTAATCTTGGTGTCTGCAACAATTAGTTCAGCTTTTTAGATCACAAACACTGTTTGATTCAAGACCTAAGGCCCGCCCCCGGCTGAGAGTCCCTGGGGGGGGGTGAGAGTGGGAAAGATGGCTCGCATCATGAATACATTTACATCTGGGTAAACAGGAACATTTGCATTAATATATTAGATGACATTAGATGATCTGGAAACAGGCTGTAGCTCTGGGGTAACCCCTGATGATGGATAAGGTCGTTGCTATGGTGGGGGGGATTGGGTGAAATATTCTCCTGTGGTGTGGATTGGTTACCCACCCGTCTGTGTGGTCTGGTTGAAGAAGGTTAAACTGATCCTGCTGTTACTTTTAGTTGAACAAAGAAAAGGGTTTAAACAGGTTAAGGGACACCTAGCAACACATTGTAATCAGGGAGCCTAAGGCCCTGACACACCAGGCCGAAATCGGCCGTTTTCGTTAGTCGGACGACGAAGCGTGCCCTGTCGCCCAAACTCAATTTGGTGTGTCCCGCACCGTCGGCCGTGACACGCCTTATTTGGCTTTTCATGGCCGACGCATCGGCCGTGCGTCGGCCACAGGCAGTCGGACAAAGAAATCACTCTGATTGGCTGTTCAGCTAGCGAATCAGTGCATGAGAAGCAAAACGGTTGCTTGAGAATGTCTTCCACAAGCAACACTCCAATGGCTGATAGCTCCAGTACCGCACGAAACATGTTTTTGATGGACGAGAGTGAAAATGGAACGCACACGCTATTTGTTGTTTGTTTATATCACGTAGTCTGTTCTTCTTCTCTGTCTTCCGGTTTTTGCCTGTTTTTAATGACAAATACACACTACCTCCGCCTGCTGGTAAGGAGAGTTATTGCCACTCACGCATGCGCAGTTCGTAAGTACTCTGCTGAAGTCTTTGCGGTGTGTTCCAGTGCGACACACACACAAGACGCAGGCGAACACGCCGACCTAACAGTCGGAATCGGCATTGGCTTGTTCTCTGGCGACTGCTTGGTGTGTCAGGGCCTAAAGGTCCTCCTTACACACACAAAGCCGATTTTCGGCGTTGATAGATGTCTGGCCGTCGATGAGCGTCCTGTCGCCCTACTCAGATTGGTGTCTGTGGTCTATGGTCCCGCCCTGTCGTGTCTTTTCAGCCGTGCCGACACCTTCCGCCGTCGATTCAACATGTTGAATCGGGAGGCGCTCGGCCAACGAAATCACTCTGATGGGCTGTTCAGCTAGCGAATCAGTGCATGAAAAGCGAAACGGAAGTGAGGGGAACCAAACAAACTANCTTGCCTCACTTCTGAAGCAAGTGACTCGGAAGACATGTGCTACCAAGCAAGCGTACTCGACATTGAGAAACACCCAGGTTCGGGACAGCCCCATGAGCTTCTCTCGGTTATCACGCAGTCTGTCTTCCGGTTGTTGCCTCTTTTGAATGACGAATACACACTACCGCCGCCTGCTGGTATGGAGAGTTATTGCCAGCTCGTACGTGCTACTTGGCCGTGGGCTGAAGTCTTTGCGGTGTGTTCCAGTGCGACTGTTGGCCAAGACGCAGGAGACACAACAGTCGTGTTCCGTCGGGACGTATTCTTTGGTGTCAGTTTTGTGTGTAGGCCCCTAAAAGGTTGTTACAATTGAAATTATTTTACAGAGGCTTCAGATTGTTACGAATTACATTTGTTGGCAGCAGCATTATTGGTTTGTTTAATTTATGATCCCCAGCTCCAGTGGTCAGCATGTCCTTGGGCAGGATACTCAGTAACCCCTAATAGCTCCCAATGGCCAGCGGTGTGTGAGTGTTAGGGTCTCATGATGGCAGCCTCTGCCTCTGTATGAAGGAGTGTGAATGCTGACATTTAAAAGTGTTTTGAGGGGTCATAGCCTTCAGTAGATTATTGTGTTTAACAACAACTTCTGAAAGTGACTTTTAACAAATGTCAGGAATCTTTACACAATGTTAAGTCTATTTATTTTATTGTTTATTTAGGCGAGTCTGATTCAATAAGAATCAAAATGCTCTAAATGAGGAACATTGAATTATTCTCAGTGTTCCACTGCTAATAAACAGAGCCAGAGTAAATGTACTCATACATGGAATCTAGTTAAAACATTCAGGAATACAAAAGTGTCTTTCATTATCAATGATGACAGTTGGGAAAACAAAACATATTTTGAAAAAAACATACTAGTATAACTTGAGTTTCATTTGTGGACAGGAGATGTTCAGGGCAAACAGGAGATGTCATTAAGATGTTGAAGACAGACGCTGTACTCCACACCCCCGTCATCAATCTCCCCTCAGAGCCTCACTGAAGGCCGGGGCCGAGCTGTGGGATGAGGCACACCAGAGTGGTCTGTGGGGGGGGGGAGGTTGTTGCCTGTTTGTGGAGAGAGGTGTGTGCGGTTGCATGCCTCAGACAGATTGGAAGCGGTGTCAAAAGTCCACAAACCCCAGCATGGTGTGTGTGTGTGTGTGTGTGTGTGTGTGTGTGTGTGTGTGTGTGTGTGTGTGTGTGTGTGTGTGTGTGTGTGTTTGTGGCTCTGGAGGGTTTTCCTCTCTCAAACTGACCGCTGAGAAATTGCGTGGTGCCATTGATCTGAGGACTACGTCATCCTTTCCTTGTATGCATTGTCCTAATGAGTCTTCCTGTGCATTAACACCATTGAGTGTTGAATATTAAGATAAACTGCCATGTTGTGACTCCGTGCTCAGATGTGTGCAGGTGCCCTCAGTCGGAGAGCGAGGGCGAGTGCAGCGACCTGCCGCTGGCCGGGCTGTTGCTGTAGGCGTGGCCCCCGTCCCCCCTCTCCTTCTCCTTGTCCTTGCTCTCATGTTTGTGCTTGTGCTTGTGCTTGTGTTTGTGCTTCTTCTTCTTCTTCTTGTGCTCATGATGGTGGTGGTGATGGTAGTGGCCGTGCTCCCCGCCGTGTTTGGAGGTTGAAGAGGTGGTCTCCTTGGAGAAGGAGGGCACGGGCGTGGCAGGCATGGAGAGCATGGACTGCTCCACTGACGGAGGCTCTTTACCTAAAAACAGAAGGAAGAAAGGTGTGTCACCAGGTTAGTGCCAATTCATTGTTTTTTTAGAATGTGTGTGTGTGTGTGTGTGTGTGTGTGTGTGTGTGTGTGTGTGTGTGTGTGTGTGTGTGTGTGTGAGTGTGTGTGTTCACCTGGTGTAGAGGGTCTCTCTAACAGGTTGAGATGATGGTGAATGAAGGCCTGACTATCATGAACCGTCTCCATATCGATATCTTCATCTTCCATTGTGTTGAACTACAACAAGCAAACTAAACATCATCATCATCATTCATTAACTAATGACCTGAGTAAAGCAGAGAAGAAAATACTTGAGAAGAGTTAAGGAAGTATAAAGTCAGGCATCATGGCAGAGCGGTGTTACCCTGATCTTGAAGCGGCCCCCCCTCCCGTCGTCCTCCTGCTGCTGCAGGATCTGTCCCGGCTCTGGAGGCGAGCCCAGCGGGGTATCAGCCTTCCTCTTCAGGCCCTGGGGGGGCTGGCCCACCCCACACACCCCTAATGAAATCGGGTCAGGCTCTTCATCCACCTGCAGACACAAGCAAACTTCAATAGTGATGCAGGAATAAGTCCTGATACTGAGTCAGCATTTGACCACGTATGGTTCCCTCTTCTTGAAGTAATTTTTTTAAAAACATTTTTATTGGTGCATAAAATTAAATCTGTGGTTGACACATGCTTACGAGATTTTGAGGTCTTGTTCTACAACGTTAAATGTGTTAGTAAATGCCCCACTGCTAAATGTCTGAAGCTCTTGCGTGTCTTAAAAACAGGGGTTGCTCACAAGTGACCAAATGACACTACTAAATGTTATCAAGCTGAACATTAGCCGCATTTAGCTTAGCGGTGGTGATGCACAGCAAGTTGACCATGATGTAGTTCCTTATATCCTAATGTTAGCTTTTAACTTCTGCTGATTGTGTTTATGCATCAAAAATAATAGAGCGGAGAACATTATCCTGAAGAATAAAATGTGTATCAAAAATGTGTGTACGCCAAAGATCTTATTTTCTGCAATATACCAAAGTCCAATGGAATAATCCCATTACTTTTTGTCGAAGGAGGCCTTGCGATGCTAACTTCGGGATCGACCTACACAAATGTATCATCATTATATCACTCTATATTTAGATTTTTTTTTTACTTATAGTCCTTTATAGAAATCTAACTTAATAAAGAGATGAATGTACAACAAAAGTCAATCGTTTATATGAAACCACTAAGCAGAATACTGAAATGCTAATGCCTCCATGTCAGACTTGTGCTGATAACTCTCTCGCTATCAGCGATGTCTTACAAGACAAAGTGCTCTTAACTGTGATTCTGGGTACAGTGGTGACGCAATGGGAATGCTGTATAGCCAAATACTGTTGGCAGGACTCTAGTAACCATAATTACATCGAAGTGAACAGATTTATTGAAGGCTTTGCTGACTATCTTTGTGCCATCTGAAATGTGTTATGCTGCATTACTAAATCAAAATGGAGGGAGACCACCAGGCAGTTGCTGATTACATCACCATTAGCTGCTGCTGATGTAGTGTGTCTTTGACTAGTGTGTTTGTTGGCTGTAACTACACAATTTAAAGTCAAAATACAAATTCGACCCGTCAAGAAATGTGAAATGTAGTTCAGTCAGTATTTCTTAAAGTGCAGTTTCCATAATACTAAAGTAAATGAGTCCACTTACAGCTATGTAGCTTATGCCAACACCATGGATGCCTATACTGGCCGCGGTGTCCATCACTGGGGCCCCCCCCAACTCAGGCTTGATGGTAGGGTTCAGGACAGCTTTCTTCTCCTTCAGGTTGAGCACGAGGCCCAGCTCCGGAAGGGGCAGGCAGGAGGGGCGGGTCAGACCAAACAGCGTGTAGTAGAGGTTCACTGCATCACAGCGCAGCCGCCAGTCATGGGACGTACCTGAGGACAGGGGGGGGGGGGAGACAGACAACAAAAGGCAAAGCTGGTTAAATCAAATAAAGATAGAAACACCCAGTAAATGCTCTTCGTGTCCCCCTTGTACTGCTACTACTACTAATAATAATAATAATAATAATACATGGGACTTGTATAGCGCTTTTCAGGAAACTCAAAGACGCTTTGACAGAGAATTAAAAAAAAAGAAAAACAAAGAAATACATAAAAGAGATAAGCAAAAAATAGGGAGGGGGGGGGGGTCAGTGGTTGAATGCGGTGTTGAACAGGTGGGTTTTGAGTGATGTTTTGAATGCTGTGAGGGAGGAAGAATCTCTGATGGATTGGGGTAGTGAGTTCCAGAGGGTGGGTGCAGCAACGGAGAAGGCTCTGACCATACTTTACTTTAAAGCTTTACTTTATAAGAGGCTCCATTATGCTTTCTGAGGTTTTCCCTTTCCTGTAGTGTTCTATAGGTTTCTGTGCATGTAAATGGTCTGCAAAGGCTAAAATCCCTCTGTTCCTCCAGAGGGACTTTCTCCCCCACACACACCCCCCCCTGGTGAGAGGGTTAGTACACTTCAACCGCACAGTTCATTCAACACTCCCTAAGAGACAATGAGAACTAAATACAGGATAATTGAGAGCTAAATGCATCATTTGAGTAGTGTTGAGTTGGGATGATTTAACACTAAATATTGCTGAAGCGGACAATCCTAAAGCCAAGCGCCTACAATGGTTGGGGGGGGGCACTGTGGCTTTAGAAGAGGGTAAAAGGAGTTTGTGTTCTTACAGGACTGACCTTCAGCTGCTGAAACATCATCCTGTGTGAGTGTGTGGGTGTTTAACATGTGGGGGTCTGTGGGTTTTGGGGGGGCGAGGAATAAAACAACCAACACATTTTCATAACATAGTATTTAAGGTGACCACACTCTGTGCGGCCAGTGTAAATACATAGTGACCAGTCAGGCTCTCCAACAGACACACACACGGACTGTCCGGCAAACAAAAGTTCACTGGAAATAATTAGCATCATATTTTCATTCATCCCTTAAGCTTGTAAGGCAAATAACGTGCTGCAATAAGAGCTCAATGGGCTTCAGAAATATGGAATTGTTAACAGATACTTGTATTTGGGTTTTGAAACGGTATGTATTTGGATTGGCAGACTGAAGCGTTATGGCCTGGCTGGCTAGCTGAAACACATAGGACCCCCTGGAAGAGAAATAATGAAACCTGAGGACACAATAGGAGGCAGAGCTTTGTGCGTACATGGTGGAGGCACTGCAACAAGCAGACCCTAACATTGTTCACTTCATTACTGGAATATACCAGATAATGTAAAAAAGAAGACAGGAAGACAAATATTTCATATGAAACACACACCGTTCAACAGTTGCTAGTGCTAATGTTTGTCGGGGTTAAAGTGAGTCTATGCATTTACTATACAAACGCTACACTAACGCATTGTGAGTGCACGGCTCCCATCAACATTTTATAAAATCAAAGCCGCATTGAATTTGACGTTATTGCGGTCGGTAAACAACAATTTGGTGTGTTACAGCCACCTTTTGGACTGGAGTGTGGCGCAGTATATTGGCCGATAAACAAAATAATAATAAATAAAAAACAGAAATAATTTCTCGTATTTATAGAGTGGTGCATGAGTCCTAGCACCCTGAAAAGAGTCAGCATTCTACCACATCCGGTACCCTTGTCACAAGTCAAATGTTCGTGTTTTTGGTTAGGTGCCTGAAACAAGGTTAATACAAGCTGAAGACATTTTTACGTTTTATTCTACGACGTTAAATACTAAATGGGACTAACTTACTTCTGGAGATTGAATTGATATGTTAAGACTATGTTAAATTGTGTTTATACGTGGAGATTAATAAAACTTAAGTATCATAAACGTGTTTGCCAAAGATCTTGTTTTCTGCAATATTCCGAGTTCATTGAAAATCCCATTGGCTGTGTATAGTCCAGAGGGGGGTCTGCCTTTTCTATGGAGAGTGTGATTTATTCCTTTGTCCTGTTCTCAGAGAGCTACTACTAACGTCTATTTCACAGTGATAAAGCCAACGGTTCTTTCTAAAAATGTCTAAGAAGCTTTTAGAAAATGTGCTTTAGATGAAGTTCATTACAACTAAATCTGGAAGGGATGTTTTTTGATTGATTCAGAAATTATTTATTTTAAGGTCACTTACAAACACACTGCCTTCTCTTTAGGGAGGAATCATTCTAGCTCAAATGCAATTACTGGATATATGTGCCGGAAGAAACCAAAGAAAAACATGTGGCTAGATAAAATGTTATACTTCTGTTGCATGGTGCTCTTACAAGAAAAGAGTGAACATGCATGAATTCAAATCTCAACTGTGTAGTGGCTCAAATCTGTTGGTCATTCGATGCAGTTTAGATTCAGTTATGATGTGCTCAGTTAAACCATTTCCTCAAACCTAATCACACATGATTGAGTTGACCTCTTTCGTTTCATTAAAAAGTAATGCTTGGGTCAAGTGTCACCGCTAAGATTAAAATGTACCGGACAAATGGGAAATGTTCCGTCAAGAAGTATCTCTATTTATTATTGAGCTTGAAAACAATTGACAAATTAAGCTATAGGAAAAGGAAGACATCATCAAGGCATATAGATATATACTTCATTTCAATTCTTATTGAGAAGCCTGCATAACAACAAAGTGCTGCCAGGGGACTAGTGCTGTATGCGTGCGTGTCTCACCTGAGTTCATAAGTTTCCAGAGCTGGTCGACCAGCGCTTCGTTACACAGAGCCGAGTCTGTGCTCTTGGTGAAAGGTGGATTCTTGCAGAGCATCCCAAGGATCTTATGTCTGATTGGACATAAAAAAAACAGGAAGATGATCATCCACGTTTTCTGTTGGTCTGTAGGCTATACAGTAATTTAGCAGGACCTACAACGTTTCTTTAACAGTAGGGGAGGCTGGTCATGCATGGTCACTTATGCAGTTGGTAGAATAAACTATAGGCAGATAAATGTAACACACATGTGTCTGCTTCAGAAAGGGGTTGCATATATTTGTAACGACAGAGGCAGCAGAGCCTTTCCCTTTCCCCTTAATAAAGGATAGGTTTTCATGCCAATCTTAAAACATTCCTGACATACCCATATGGACATTGAAAGGGTCTTTGGTTGTAAAGACATTCTTTCCTAAAGCGATTTCAGCCCTGCTCTATGCTCAATGCACTGCAAAGTTCTGGCGAAGCTAACATGACGCTCAGCAGTTTGAGAGAAATCTGCAGGTCATCTTTAAGCTTCATGAGTATGAAGGTCTGTCTGTGTGCTTCCGTTCACGCTGAGCCGTGGCAGAAGGGGCAAAGTGGAATCTCGCTCTCTGTGTCCACACTTGATTTGTCTTACTCAGACTGCTAATATCATGTCAACTGATATTTACACTATCATCAGCGTTTGTTGTATTTAATAATGACAAATAAACCAAGAAAAACCATTGAGGTAAGGACACTGTTCTCAAAGTGCAAAGTGTACACATGGTTGTGTGTTGTGTGTGTGAATATGTACCTGACGTAATGAGCCGGCTCGTTCTGCACCATGTTGAGCAGCCACTGCAGCTCTGCTGAGCTCCTCTCCACTGCAGGACAGAGAAACAAACAGAGGCTGAACCCACAGACATGTTGCAATGAAATAACTCCTTAAGATCCTGAAAATGTGTCAGATAAAATACAAATGTGACAAAAACCTTCAAACATCAGGTCTTATTATATATATCACATGGTGTTTGACATTTTATTGTACCCTTGATGGCATTTACATTTGAGATTCGTGTCAACAAAACCTATCAGTGCAGCATACCTTAGAATATGACTACATTTTTCTAAGTATAAAATGTGTCGCAATCCTATTTTTGGGCTAAAATCCGATTCATCGTGTAATGAATAGAATCTGGATGATTCTGATGAGTGTTTGTGTGATACAGATCCTATGAATGAGCATGCAGACAAATCTATTCTTGTATATGCGGATCTCAAGTAACCTGACAACTAGATCAACGACAATGCAGAAGAAGCACGTGTCATAATGTCCAACCTCGAGTGTAGTCCACCAGAGCCTCCAGTGCAGCGACGCGAACGTCTACAAAGTGTCCGTACTCTGCGTAGGACTTGAAGAGCGACGCATCACTGGGAATGTGTCCATTCTTCTGCAGCTCTCGGATCGCATTCAGACAGCTGGAGAGGAGGGGGAGAAGAACACGAGGGGTATTCCAGTTGTGTGTGAAATGAATGCTAGAAGACAGCTAATAAAAGGAAATTGCACAGTTTTTTGTTGCTTTTGGATATATTATTTTTAAAAAGTACATTACCATTACATTTTTATACTTTATTATTATATGGTGGTATTTTTATTATAAAACTATACACCTATCGATTGTTGTGACTCCCTGTCTCTTTCCTCCAATCTTAAACTTGGATATGCAATGGGAATCATTGAGAAGTGAGTCTACTTTTAACTAAAGCCATGATCCCTTTTTCTCTAATTATGGTTGTGATATTGTGTTTTTTGCTCAACAACATGGGTCTACACTCTTGCACACATTACTGCATGCAGCACTCGATTAATGTTCATTTTAGAAACTCTTACATTTTAAGTAAAGGCTAAACTTAAGACTCTCTGACATTGGAAGCCCAAAAGACCTTAACCCACCATAGCACACCTTATTTTGTGGCAGATAATCAGAGTCGCCAGTGTCTTATTAAATTGAAGCAAATATTTAAATAAAACCTAAGAACACTGCCTATGCCAACATGGACTGATATTACTTTACTATGCTTAGTAGTACCAACATTTTGTATAAGTTTAACAAATGAGATAAATAATCTGCCAGGACAAACACATGTTTCAGGAGATCATCAGTGGAACATAGAGACCAACACTCCGCTTCTAACCTGACAGTGATGGTGTTCCTGAAGCTCGGCAGCAGCTTCTCCATGTTCAGGAACCGTGTGATCTCCTCCAAGATGAGACGCACGTCAGCATTCAGATTGTCCACGGTGCGCACCTCGTTGCTGATGCTTATGGCCGGGGTCAGGGAGTTGGTCAGGGCTTCAATCAGCTCTGCACGGTAGTAGTTATCTGAGAACTGAAGACACGCAAGAAGGGGGGGTCAGTACTGACATTGCAGAGTACTGGGATGACCACATGCAGTCAGCGTCTAACCAGAAGTGCAAGAGAAGCAGTGAAGTGCAGTGTAATGTATATGTAGAGTTTAACTATATCAAGGAGACAGATATTTAAAGCTTAAGCATATATAGTATGAACAGTATTAATACGTATAAACACTATGAACATATGAAATATAGACAGTATAATAAATATGTATACACTTTGAACAACTTATTTGAATAAATACACTATCTCAACTGCTCGTTAACACAAATATCTAATCAGCCAATCACATGGCAGCAACCTAATGCATTTAAGCATGAAGACATGGTCAAGACGACCTGGTGAAGTTCAAACAGAGCATCAGAACGGGGAAGAAAGAGGATTTAAGTGACTTTGAACCTGGCATGGTTGTTGGTGCCAGACGGCTGGTCTGAGTATTTCAGAAACTGCTGATCTACTGGGAATTTCACAACCATCTCTAGGGTTTACAGAGAATGGTCCGAAAAAGGGAAAACATCCAGTGAGCGGCAGTTCTCTGGGAGAAAACGCCTCATTGATGCCAGAGATCAGAGGAGAATGGCCAGACTAGTGCAAGATGATAGAAAAGCTACAGTAACTCAAGCTAGAACATTTCGAGAAATGTTGACTGTGTGACTGAAACTAGGGTGCGCGTCCCGATGCTAACATTACCCCCGCTGAGTAAGTATTAATAGCATTAGTTGTATTGTTAAGGTACAACAAAGAATATCCATTAATTGTGGCTCACCTTTAGCTGACTGTTTTAACTGTTTATCAATGACATTTTTAGATTCTTGTACCACATTCCTGCATCGTTTCTGAACATGTTTAGATCACAACTGGATTTAGTTAACGACCGACAGGTGTGTTCAAAGATCAAAGCGTTTTCACAGCAACGCCCTGCCATTGAACGAGAGACAGCTTGTCAGAGAATGTATTGAAAATATTGTGCTGCATTATTGCTTCTAAGTAAAAAACTGTAACTCCAATCAGCTAAGTATCCTACCCAGAGTATTGAGGATACCAGATGAACACACCTGATGACTCTCGTGTTTGCTATGTGTGTAAGTCCGTTTGATTAAATGAGCATATCGGTGCGGCCGTGACAATTTTCCCTACATTATGATCACCTAATTATGTATGAGGAGTAAAAATGGTGGCCAGCCAAGCAATAGTTGGAAAAAAACCTCTTTAGATTTTACAGCTCCTCTCCCATCTAGCCGTGATGTCACCACTCTAAGTCTTAACCAGCTCTCCCATAGACACCCATTATGAAACATGAAACATTGTGACATTTTCACAAAACGTAAGCTCCGAGTATGAGAACCGTACTAGCTATCCAAAAATATCCAATTAGTCTAATAAAGTCCATAGTCTCGAGAACCGTTTAAACTTGCAATCTTTGTTCTACGTTAAAGTATGCAGAATCTGTATGGGGTGAAAGTTGGGTGTTTTTGAGCTCTGTTCAAATGGATTTCCCATTCATTCCTATGGGGCAAATGATCGTAGTGTTCTGCGATTTGCGTGAAAACGGCTAGGCGAATCTCTTATAAAAGACATAGCAACCCGATCCCGGTCATTCCGTACGTTTTGATATGTTTTTTGTGTGTTTCGTGTCAACGCTGCCAGACGAGTAGCATTACAACATTTGTGGCGGAAGAAGGAGAATAAGATGAGATAAGTATGTTGAATATTATACAGTGTGTGGCTTTGCCAGTCACACAGAATAACCACTAGTTACAACCAAAGTATGCAGAAGACCATCTCTGAACCACAACACGTGGAACCCGAAGCAGAGGGGCTACAGCAGCAGAAGACCACACCGGGTGCCCCTACTGTCAGATAAGAACAGGATACTGGGGCTACAATTTGCACAGGCACAACAATAAAACATTTGGAGTGTGTGTGACGGGGCATCTATACTTTGTTTTTTCTGTTGTCGTTGTACTTGATCAGGTCCAGGATGAAGTTGAGCACATCTTTGGGACAGAGGTTCTGGACATCTCTGAGTAACGCCATGGCAACAGGCATCGTCTGACATCGGAGAAAAAGACAACAGTACAATCATGATCATGTTTGCAACAAAAAAGATGGAGACATTTTTTATAGCTAAATGTTACTGCTGAAAACCTTTACTGTGCTTGCACATGGCATTGTAAGTGGAGCCTAATACTGGAATTTGTAAAATGTGGTTGTTCTGTAATTGTACCAAAATAGGTTCACTGAAAAACAAAAAATAAAACGTTGAAATAAATGTATTTTGTCAACAAAGTTCACATTACTGTATTAGTTTAGTTGAAGGCAATAGTATTAAGTTGAACCTAATGTATTTTTGTTACACCTTTTTTAAGTGTGGGACATAATACTGCTGAAACATCAATGGGTCAGGGCTCTCTGGTGGATAATACAACAAATAGACACAAAATATATTTAAAAACATTTACGGTATTTCTGCACTGAAATGTATTGTATTGTAAATGTATGTATACTAAAATAAGCTGAAGCTATGCCTGGGATAGCGTCCAGGACTACAGTGTGTTGACACAGTTAATGGACCTATAAGAGTTATGCATTGTATGTATTACCTTTTGCAGGAAGTACGTCTGAAAGCTGATGAAGTGGTTGGTCTTGACGATGTTGGGGCAGCTCTTACAGCAGAACATTCTGGTAAACAGGGACTTCATAGCTGGGGGGCCCTGCCACGTGCTCACCATGGCATTGGCTATCTGCAAGGTTTACATATGCACATGAGAACAGGAGAAGACAGCTCTTTTTCAAAGCTTGTGTCTGCTGTCACCACATTAAAATAACTGCCAACTGAAACATACAAGAGTTCTGCAAAGCATGTACAATGTACCCAGATGTATATTCTTAACTCTCAGGAGCTATGGGCAGACAAATAACTCATTTAAGAATGTTTTACTTTTATAACAATGTCCTTTCTGTCCATTATAATTGCTGTGGTGGGAACAGAAGCCCACAGTGAAAGTGTACACACGAGAGGTTTCCACAGGCATGAAGACCAGCGGCTCCAGTGGTCTTTGGGTTCCAACAGGATATTGGGGAATTTATGTTAATGTGGTAATATAGGACCAAGGGTCACTGACACAGGATGTTGTCATTTGGTAAGGCAAATAAAGGCATGCTCACCGGAATGTTGTTGTATGTGCGTGTGCACGCATTCACGAACACACTTGTGTTTGTGTGAATATTAAACATGTGCATGCATTCTTTCGTTTTATGTCCCCCCAAATGTTCACCCCCAGGCTGTTCCTTTATCCTTCCCACAATTTCTATCAATAACAAGCAATTATATGCCATACCACCAATCATAACGCAGCAAAATCCATCTGAGGTCAGTTATATTTCACGTTTGTGGTCAGTGTGTGTATGTTAGTATGTGAATGTGTGTGTGTGAGCTTTTATGTCAGTCAGCGTGTGAAGTATAAACCAAAGGCCATTACGATGGAGACTGTTGGGGGTTCTGTGGCCAATCACAGCACCTTAATGAAGGTAGTGAAGTGCCATTTCAACCTCCACTCAGTTTATCATGTTGCGAAAATATTGGTTCAGGTGGAACCTGAGAGGCGGATATCCAGTGGGGTTAAAGTTAGAAAAGACTAAATCCAGAGAATAGAGAATTTCCTGCAGTCTCAGAACAGGATTATACAGCCAACAGGACAGGGAGGGTTGAACTAGTGGGTGCTGGTCAAATATTGTTATCAAAATAACAAGTGAGGGAGCGATGAGGAGGATGGATATGGTTAACACAGTGTCCCCTTTATTTGAAATGACAAGTGTAAAAAAAAGAGCAAACTATTAGAGCATGCTGGTTTCAGAGTCTTTCTCGAGCTATAAACTGAACTTGTATTCTCCCTTCTGTGCCTCTCTCATGCATCCCTCGCCTAACACACATTCATTCACATCTCCACCCTAGGCCTTCTTCACCCTTCTTGTTTCCTCATATTCTTTCAGGGACCCACATTACTACTTATTTCTCCTCATCCCCTCTCACTCCATATTTGCAAAGTTACAGCTTCTCTCTTCTGCTCAGTTAGAGCATTTCTATGGAAGCCCAGAATCTCAGTTAAATGACATTGTGACCTATCATGGGTCATCATGCTCCCAATATAAATCCATTGATCCTGCTGACAGGCGACACCACTGACTAACTTACCTTCTACTCTTACTAAATGTAATCTGTTTGGACTAAACTACAGTGAATGTAAAAGTGAACATCTTAAACCCAATCAGTCATGCTTTACCCACTGCAGAAGGGCTGAAGCATGTCCTTGATACCCACAATGGATCTGCCTGAACACTTAACTCTTTGCACCATATACGAGTAACTAATTCCAGTTACTAGCTTTCATTCAACACTTTCCTACCTTAGCCTAGCTTATGCTGCTATATTTAGTCAAAAACACTGCTCAAACTACAATTCACAAAACCCATTGACACATACTGGCAGACACATACCTTGGCCAAACAGAAGCAGGCCTGCATGCGGACTTTGTAGAAACACTGTTCCTGCTCCAGGATGTCCGTCAGAGCCAGTCTGGAGGCAGGAGTTGGGAACTTCTCCAAAGCTGAGATGGCCTCCTCCTAAGAGAGAGAAAAGGTACATGCTCCGTCAGTGACAGTAGGCTCAACATGAAAAGCTGCTACCAACATGTTGCTTGGAGTAAGGAGAGATAAATGGGACTGATAAGTCTTGCCATTCAATTTTTTTTAACCAACTAGGATGTGGTTCCAAATTAGAACCCGCTTTCAGAAGCTATCAATGAAAGCACCATTTAGGGATGTGGTGTCTTAGCAGAAAAAAAAGAAGATCTAACTGCAGAGTGATATGGTGAACCCATAAGAAAACCCACCTGTGCAACTACATCCCTTTCATAGCGCAGCTGATACTGCCACATGAAGTCAGCCTGCTCAAACTCCACCTTCCTCAGGATGGACATGTCCGGGTCGATCCGGATCCAGAGGAGAGGAGAGTCAGCACTGCAGACGTTACAAGAGAGAGACACATTGAGGGGAAGTTCAAACAAAAGTAAGAAACGTCAACTCCCACAGGGAGCAAAAATTTGTTGCTGATCATAGATCCATCTTTAACTTTAAAATGTCATCCTGAAGAGGTTTCCATAGCAGTCATATCAAGAGTCAAGGCTTTTATTGTCATTCGAATATAGCTACAGTGTAGTTATGTCGATGAAAATCTTAGGTCCCAGGCTCCTCAAACAGTGCAACACAATAAAACAGATTAAATAGTGCAAGTAATACAATAAAATAGAATAGAAGTAGTGCCATAAGACTCAAGTGATACATCATTTGTTGCAAACAGGTGAATGTTATGGATGTTCTTAGTTCAGGTGTCTTATTGCCTGTGGGATGAAACTGTCCCTGAGTCTGGTGGTTTTAGTCCGGATGCTGCGGTAACGCCTGCCAGACGGCAGCAGACAGAACAGTTTGTGGCTGGGGTGATGGGGGTCTTTGATAATCTGGAGGGATTTCTTCCTGAGGCGCTGGGAGTAAAGGTCCTCCATGGATGGCAGCTCCGTCCTGGTGATGTTCTGTGCAGTTTTCACCACCCTCTGTAAAGCCTTACGATTGAGGGCGGTGCAGCTGCCGTACCAGGCCGTGATGCAGCCAGTCAGGATGCTCTCTATGGTGCACCTGTAGAAGTTGCAGAGTATCCTGGAATCCATGTTGAACATCCTCAGCCTGCGGAGGAAGAAGAGCCGCTGTCGAGCTTTTTTGGTGATGGTGGTGGTGTGAAGAGTCCATGTTGGGTCCTCTGTGATGTGGACACCGAGCAACCTGAAGCTGTTGACTCTCTCCACCGTAGTCCCACTGATGGCGATGGGGGCGTGTCCCTCTCTCTGCTGCTTCCTGTAATCCACAATCAGCTCCTTGGTTTTGCTGACGTTGAGATGGAGGTTGTTATCCTGGCACAAGATGTCAGGTTTTCGACCTCCTCTCTGTACGCCGTCTCGTCGCCGTCTGTGATCTGGCCGATGATTGTCGTGTCGTCAGCAAACTTTACGATGGTGTTGGAGCTGTGTGTGGCCACGCAGTCGTGTGTACACAGGGAGTAGAGGAGAGGGCTGAGCATGCATAGATAAGACAATGCTTCACTTTAGAAGGAGATTCATCCAAAAAAATGTGACAGTTTTGTTTTTGTATAAGATATTTTATGGTATTTTCAAAATAAATACAAAAAATATACAAGTAAGCTAATACATGTCAATTACTCAGAATGGCTTTTATAGCTGTATGAGGAAGAGGCTTTCAAATGGCATATATATTGGAACCAGTTACGATTGGATGGTTATTTACATTGTTTTTCTTCTGTTTCTAAAATTAATTTGTTGGCTTAATATTTTGGACTGTTGAATAAGTAAAGTAAATAAAACTCTTTCAAATTGATCATTTATTCAAACCAATTACCAATTACACATGTTATGCAACAAGCACCTAATTAGAAACATCTTAGAACCTGTGTGTAGACGCCAGACATGTAATTAATACCAAACAAAACCCAACTGATCTTCAGTTGAATTAAATCCTTGTGCAGATGTAATTAAAATAATATTTGTTGATATGGTTTGCATTCTAAATGGCAACCTTATTGTAAGTTGAAAGTCTCTTTGAATGGGAATATTTACCAATTGAAATAGAGGATTTAAATAGAAATGTGAGCATGGAAGGTTTTTTTATATTTCTCCATTAGCCACACTAGCAATTGCCTCAGACATAGAAACATTGCTTGGTTGTCACTAGGAACTGTGGCACAGACAAAAAGATCGCAACAATTTAGGATTAATGTGAATTTTGAGACTGACATTCATGGTCAACTGAGGAGGTACCCGTGATCCTGTGAAAATGTGTCTTGCCACCCCTACAGAAGATCAACGTTTTTATCGATTCGGTAAGTTTAAATAACATCTACTTATGTGATTGTACCAAAATGTTTTACAGACTATTGTTCCTTGACAAAAATCAAGATAAGGCATCAGCTGTAATGTCTGTGCTTGTTACTCCTGTGCACAATAAAGACACAGCAAAAGTATATTTTTAGGGATTATTATTTACTCTGAATGTTACCCTTCAGTATTGAAAATGCAGGGTTTGCTGTTTTAAATGGACAAGGTAATCAAGGTGAACTTGTTGATCATTTTATATTTCATCATAAACAATTGAAGCTGCTTACTTTGGTGACCCCAGTATTGTTCCTATGTATGACACAACTTGCTGCCCAGCTCCAAGAACTGAGTGGAGTTTTGGAAGTGAGCTATCCATGACCCCAAAAGGACAAATTGTAACAACTTTGGTAAGCTTTTGTAACCCCAGCCTGTTAACTCTGTATGATAGCTACAGTACACCCAGCAGGCTGAGCAGCATGAGTGAACAGATACTGACAACCTGTGGCAATATTTCATGACAAAGCACTTGGTCTCCTTTTAAAGTTTTTACCCAAGACTCAATAAATAGACCCTCCAGAAAAACGCGATTCTGCGATCGCAGAATTTACCGCATAATCAGCAAAATGGCGCAGATTTCTAAAAGGCCGCATATTTATCAAAAGGCCGCATAATCCCCGCATTTTTCCACACAAAGTTGAGAAAAAAAAAAGTCGTCTTGATGTGACGTCATCAGCTCGCGCATCACAGAATGTAAACAACACTGTATAGAGTGAACGTGTGGAGCTCACACGATAGAGAAAACACCAAAATGAAAATATCTAATCCATCTCATTTACCGACGAACATTTAGAAATGTTCGTCGGTAAATGAGATGGATTAGATATTTTCATTTTGGTGTTTTCTCTATCGTGTGAGCTCCACACGTTCACTCTATACAGTGTTGTTTACATTNTATGCCTGCCACAGCTGCTGCCCCTGCTCAAACACTCCATGTCTTACCTGCATGAGATCTTTGAGTTCTATGAGGAGATTCTGACATGCCGCTACCCTTATGCCTGCTTCAAGACTGTGTTTGTGGACGAGGCCTACGTACAAGTGTCCTCCTATGCTTCCATGAGTATCTTCAGGTAGGCATGAGACTCTCATCAAATACAAGAATAAAGTTACAGTGCAGTGTAAGATACGAATAGTTCCATTAAAAGCAGCGGCAAAAAGAAAAGTCCTGAGCCTTGATTTAAAGTAGTAGAGTTTGTTCCAGATGTTTGGCGTATAATAACTGAATGCTGCTTCTCACTGTTTAGTTCTGACTCAGAAAGCAGCCCCGTTCAAGAAGACCTGAGAGTTCTGGATGGTTCATAATGTAGCAGGAGATCAGAAATGTATTTTGGCACTAAACCCTTCAGTGCTTCATAAACAACAACAGCATTTTGTCATATTATATTCATGTACTGTGTCTGATTCTGTCTCACCTGGAGTTGTTGGTTTTGTTTTCAGCACCAACCTGCTCCACAGCTCTATGATCATAGACCAGACCCCGCAGACACGTCGCTGTCTGGCCCAGGCCCTGGCTCAGCAGTTCTTTGGCTGTTTTATCTCCAGGATGTCATGGTGAGTCTGCACAGTGAGCCCGTTAGCTCGGAGACGGGAAGTCTAAGCCACACAGGAAGACATGTCCTGTTGAGACCTCAGATACTGAAGACCCATTTCTCACTGGCTAATCGCTGCGTCAATCAAGACATTGCCTAAGCCCTATGTGGGGGCATTTTTCTGGATCTACCAGAAAACCAACTTAAAGATAAGATTAATAACAAAAAGACAACTTAGAGCCTATCACAGCATTAACCCTTAGAAAACATATCTTTGTCTTATTTTGCGAGTGGGACAGGGGATCTTTAGGGGGAGATCGCATGTCAAAAGTACATGCCAAATATCAGTGGTATACATAATCTGAAAGTTGAGACCCTGAAGATGGAAGGTTTTATATACTTTTTGGTAAGACGCATTTCAAATCTAAAAGTTTACAGTGTAGAAGATCCTGGAACACTATGATCACACTATGACTGTGAATGGCCATACCCATGCTCTATTATGTTTCATAAAGTATGGCAGAAAGGTTTGTGTTGATCATTCTGGATCACTCAACACTTGATCGAAAAACAACAGAGAAAAATCCATTCAGAGATTTGGTATCAAAAACTTTGGACATTTGCAATAATTGCTTAGGGAATAAGGAAAGCTTCTAAAAGCCCTCAGTCTCTAGTTGTGCTTGTTAAGTTGAATGAGGTTCTGATTATCCTAGAGCTCATTTTATAAAGTGAGGTCATGTTTCAAAAAATAGTCTGACAACAATGAATAGACTTGACTAACATTTACACACGTTTATACAGCTGAATTCATTTAATCGTCTCAGCTTTCCATACATTTATGAAATTCCCAGACTGTAGGGACCCCAGCAGGAAGAAATGTATTTAAAAAAAGGTGAAAATAACACATTTATACTTCATAATTTTGTCCAAAACTCAGTAGGCTTGTGTTAAGATAAGAGGCCCATCGATAGGACTTAAATCCTGCTAGTATTGTGGAGAGAAACGCGTATTGTCCCCCCGTCTCTGACCTTTGAACACACATCAGATGTGTGTCCTTGGTTTGCTTATGTTGTTGAGCTGGCTGGTGTTGTGTAAGAAAAGATCTCAGGAGACTCAGATCTCTTTGATTCTAGCAAAGCATGGTGCTGCCTGCTAGCAATTAATCAGAGTGGGGGTTCACTAGGGCTGTAATTGAAAGCAGCCGTGCTCAGTAGCCTGTCAGACATAAAAGAAAAAGGCACACGGAAAAATAAAAACTGCTCTTTTTACAAATTTATGAAACCTTGATATCAAAAACTGAAGTTTGAGGAGCTTTAGGAAACAATACATTGATTTGTGTTTTATCTCCGCCTTGTGTTTCTGTGTAATAGAGTTTTTTTCTTAATGAAAATCTGCTGAAGATTTCATTGACCAATTGCATCTGAGGGTGTTGGTTTGTAAAGTGCTGTTTTTTCAGTGTTACAAGAAGGAAGTTGAGACTACTTTTTAAGAAGGGTTTCTCTAAAAAGAGAGGAAAGAAACTCAAAGCTTAAGAGTTCGACCTTGTTTTTAATATTGAATCAAAAATATTCTCAAGACAATATTAGGATGAAATATTTTAGGAGAATAATTCCATAGTGTCCATAAAGTTGATCAGAGTTAATGCACAGTTGAAATCCTAATTGCTACCCGCAGGATGGATTCAGTTCAGCATGACGCTGTTAAACCACCCAGGTTGAATCATAGTATTGTGTTCCTTTTTTTACAAGCTAATAAATCCAGGCTGATAAATGTACAAAAGCTGTGTCTGCCATGCCAAGTTTGTTCCTAGGAATACCACAAGGATAACTTACACAATAACTTAGTAAAGAGCAACACAAGTGTGGCCTTTTACTTTAAAAGTCACTTTTAATAAGCTTGAAGCCGTGAAGGAAACAGGGGGAGCTCTCAGTTTCCGGGGTTTAATCTCCATATCCTATTTAATCCGGATCCCAGAAAGGGCTCCTTGAAAGTGTGAAGGATCGAAGGTCTGGAGTTCATTTTCTTAAATATGGAGTTAACCTGCATTTCATTTGTTACAATTCCTTGAATAATGCCTGAACGTTGGACATATACCTCAAACCATGCGGGGCACTTAACCCCCCCAGGTGAAGACATTGATATTTGGTGATGATTTGTATTTTGTGAACTTGCAGTGCATATGTGTTGTTCCTCCTGAAGGGCTGATGAGTGGGTGCTGAAGGGGATCTCAGGCTACATCTACGGCCTCTACCTAAAGAAGACCTTTGGAGTGAATGAGTACCGGCACTGGATCAAAGAGGTAACAGTTATTCTAGACAACTCTTTATCCTGTCGGAACTTGGTGATAATAGCATGGCTCTGGTTTTCGACAGAGAGTGAAAAAAAGTGTGCAGCACAGTCAGTATGAGAAAAATTAGGAGCTTTTTGAACTGTTTTGGCTCTTAGTATGTGCCTTTCACTTTTCTCTGAAATGTAAAAGACAATCTGGGAAAATAATCACAGATTTATCTGTAACAAATATAACCGTGCAGTAGGCAGCCATTCACTCATAGACTTAACTAATGATCAACTTATTTGAGTTTATATTCAACTGAATTAAAAAATTTGATTAATTTATAAATGTTTATGAATTTTATTATTTTCTCTTCAGGAGTTGGACAAGATTGTGGAGTATGAACTGAAGATGGGGGGGGTTCTGCTGCACCCGACCTTCAGTGGAGGAAAAGAGAAAGACAAGTAACGCTTCAATCCAATCACAGTCATTTGGTCCTGGATCATAATTGCATGACACACTGAGCTAACTGTTTTCTATCTTCAGTCCAACCCCCCACCTCCACTTCTCCATCAAGCACCCCCACACTTTGTCCTGGGAGTACTACAAGATGTTCCAGTGTAAGGCCCACCTGGTGATGAGGCTGATAGAGAACCGGATCAGCATGGAGTTCATGTTGCAGGTGACACACTGCCAGCATTTCCCTGTCTTATGCCTCTTTAAACGTCTAAGGCAGTATTTATTAACCTCATAACAAAAGATGGTTTTGTCTTCATTTGAATTCTTTGTTTTCTGCTCCCTTACTAAAGGTTTTCAACAAGCTTCTGAGCCTGGCGAGTACCGCCTCCTCCCAGAAGTACCAGAGTCACATGTGGAGTCAGATGCTTCTGTCCACTCACGCCTTCCTCAAGTCCATCTCCAACGTCTCAGGCAAAGACATCGGCCCCCTCATCAAACAGTGGGTGTATCTTTCAATCTGGAATGGATGGTTTGCCAGCACACAGAGTGATTATTGAACTGCTTCACAGTATGACCTTACACAGAAGGGAAATATAGAGGTTCAATGTTTGGTCATGTCAGACCTTAAATAGTTTTAGTTAATTAAAGCACTTTTCAGGTTTTTCTGCAGCCTTGAAACTTAGTCCACTGACTCAGAACTGACTCACGTTAAAACAAATGCAAAAAGATATCAAATGTATAAAATAATTACAAAGGCCATGTTTTAAACATTTCACCAGTTCATTGTTTAATCTTGAATAAAAAAAAATAAAAAAAATGTATTGGCCTTAACTTTTGGTACTCCAGAGACCAAAGTGCTGTGGTGAAATTCTTTGGCAGTTTTGCTTTTAATAGGAAAAGGAACGTGCTGGAGCTGGAGATCCGTCAGGACTACACATCATCTGGAACCCAGAAATATGTGGTGAGCGTCCACATACAGTGTTTGGAATAAATGAATTGTCTGTGTCTAGAGCAGTCAATTTTTTTAAGTAAATCGTTTATTTATTTTTTACAGCAGATTCAAATGACATTTGTAATAAAAATCAAAGTGTACTGTAGGCCACAATCCTAGTCTGCTTGCCAACATTTGCTGATGGTCAATGAGAGGATTAGTTATTATTTTACAGTGCAAAACACCAGTTACCAAGTATGGCACAAACATGGCTATCCTTCTAAGACAGTCTTTCCCTTCGAGGGAGACCTATTCTAAAACCAAACTCCAAGACTTAAAGGGATAAAAAAAATCTAATATTGTTACAGAATTCCCATTTCATAAAATTGTCCTATGTTTATTTGCCTGCAGGGCCCTATCAAAGTGACAGTGCAGGAGCTGGATGGATCCTTCAACCACACGCTGCAGATCGAGGAGAATAGCCTGAAACACGACATCCCCTGTCACTCCAAGAGCCGCCGGTACACACGCTGCACACACTCTCATAAGTCAACACAATAATGGAGAAATGTTTATATTTACTAGATATCATATATTACTTATTATTATTATTGTAAGCCAGTAAAATAGTTTGTATCATTTGAATATTAATACAACCATGTTTATAATATAATAAGTGTGATACTCATTGTTACTCATTATGTTGCTTTGTTTCTTGGTGATACGTTGATCTTGTTGTTATCTATTTAATCTTTGTTTCTTTACTTTGTCCTCTCGTCTCTGTTTCTAGTCGAACAGAAATGTGATCAACAAAGAGAATTTATTAAAGAAATTCTGAGTGTGGCTGTGTTTACTGACTGTTCCATTGTTTTTTCCCCCAGAAACAAGAAAAAGAAGATTCCTCTGATGAATGGAGAGGAAGTTGACATGGATTTATCGGCAATGGAGTAAGACATCACTGCTGTAGCCATTTGTTTGTTATTTATATTGTATGTATTAGTTATTGTATCATTTTATTTATATATAATGCAATGGTGTTTTCTAGTGTTTAAGGCGAGCTTTTTTTAATTTAAGAAAAAATTTATTCATAAAATACTTGACTCTTCTAGCTGGAACAAACGTGTGTCTACCTATTAGCCATTGATGGAGCAGCGGGGGGTGCTGTGGGAGTGTCTGCGTGCGCATCTCTCCCAGATGAGCTGAACAGTTTTTTTGCACGATTCGAGAGCAGCCAGGCTGTGGAGGCACAGAAGGATCAGGAGCCCTGCCCTTTTGTTTTAAACAGGGCAGATGTGTAAATCCTTTAAAAGGGTTAACCCACACAAGGCTCCAGGACCTGATGTCATCCCTGGCCGTGTTCTCAGGTTGTGCAGTTGAGCTGGCAGAGGTGTTCACAGACATCTTCAACAGGTCCCTGCTGCAGTCTGTAGTCCCCACATGTTTTAAACACTCCCCCATCGTTCCTGTCCCCAAAAAGTCTAAAATCACCAGCCTCAACGACTACCGCCCAGTAGCACTCACCTCCATCATCATGAAGTGCTTTGAGCGGTTAGTCAAAACCTTCATCACCTCCTCCCTCCCTGACTCTCTGGACCCCCTGCAGTTTGCCTACAGAGCAAACAGGTCCACAGACGACGCCATAGCCCTCACCATCCACACTGCCCTCTCACACCTGGACCAGAGGACCACATATATGAGAATGCTGTTCATTGATTACAGTTCAGCCTTCAATACCATTGTGCCCTCCAAGCTGGCCATCAAGCTCAGAGACCTCGGGCTCAACAGCGCCCTCTGTGACTGGATCCTGAACTTCCTGACGGGCAGACCCCAGGCAGTGCGGGTGGGAAACATCCCATCCTCCACCCTGATCCTCAGCCACCGGAGCCCCTCAAGGCTGCATGCTCAGCCCTCTCCTCTACTCCCTGTTCACTCACGACTGCGTGGCCACACACAGCTCCAACACCATCGTGAAGTTTGCTGACGACACGACCGTCATCGGCCAGATCACAGACGGCGACGAGACGGCGTACAGAGAGGAGGTTGAAAACCTGACATCTTGGTGCCAGCATAACAACCTCCATCTCAACGTCAGCAAAACCAAGGAGCTGATTGTGGATTACAGGAAGCAGCAGGGAGAGGGCACACGCCCATCGCCATCAATGGGACTACGGTGGAGAAGACGTCAGCAGCCTCAAGGTTCCTCTGTGTCCACCATCACGAGGACCTGACTGCTGGACTGTTCACGAGCACCGTCATTGGAACCCATCACTGTGGTCGTTCTGATATGGACGCTTCCATCCCTGAGCCCTGACATGGGTCTCATCACTTGGCTAGTCGCACCATGGACTTCGTTCACTGAAGTGGACGCTGACATTGACTCATCACTGAGGACCTGATCCTCACTAGGGCCTGACATGACGCGCGATCACACTCAGCACCATGCAACCAGTCATCATGACAGTACGCTCTTCTCATTCTCTGTTAATGGCTGGAGGAGCGTTCACATGACGACTTCATACCTCCTAGCTAGGATCACTCTCGCCAACTGTCTACAGGTGAACCATAGAGAGGAGACATGACCTGTACAACAGATGAAAACCCTACTCGTTAGAGCGAGGGTCCTCTGCACTCGCTCCGCTCGTAAACGGTTGGCCGTTCACGGAAGACAGAGTTCGCATCATGACGGGCGACACATTCTATCATGTGAGTTGACGAGCCATAGAGAGCGATCCTGGACCTTCTACAGGGTGCACCAGGAGAGAGCGATTCCGCTGAGATTTGGATTGATCTACTCTCAGGCTGACGCCCAAATACCATAACATCGAGGTTTCCACCAATATTCAACTGTGTGGAGCCAGTCTGTGGTCCGTCTGGACGTGAGCAGGCCTGGACAGCAGTTGCCCACCGCCGCTCAATCGTAAGGCTTTACAGGAGGGTGGTGAAAACTGCACACAGCACA